CATTCTGGATTTTTCTTGTCGATGCATTGAGTAGTATCTATTATTGGATGGTTATACCGTACTTTGGTGCAAATTTGCAGTTTGTTGTTAGTTATAATTATTTATTTATTCATTTTTTAAATATCGGCATGTTTGGAAAACCGTAAAGCATTTACCATGTTACAAAAAAAAAATCTTGTATGGTCCCGCCGGCATCCTTTCTTCCTACTGCATCAATTGCATTTATTTCTTTTTAAAATAAATATTCACTGTGTTAAACGGCAAGATCAGCCGTTGTTTTCTGTTATTTGCACCCATCAGAAATATCTTGCGTCTTAATGTTTGTTTTAAAGTAAACATGGTGCCAAGTCGGTAATTGTTTTGCGTACGGTACCGGTTACTGGCTACACACACGCAAACTATCGCTGCAATGCGCGTAGTCTGGTTCCCAGACCAAATGATGCTGACTATTTCTGATAAAATTACCGACTTGGCGAATATGCTTTCAATATGTGTACACAACATTATAATAGGAGTATTTTGAATCGCTAGCGAATTCTATGCGAGCACTCTGATTGGTTCAGATTCCAGGGCGTATTCTAGGCCGCCACGGAAGATCGTTCTCATTACTTCGAGGGTTATTGCTTTGTGTTGTGTAACATTACAAAATTCATAATAGGGCATACACGACTTATTATAAATAAATCAAGTTTGTCACATTGATACTTTTTTTTCCATACACAATTGTCGAAGGTGAGTGTATTGGTCGTTAAAACGTCGCCAGATCTGCGAACATGTCCCTGATGCATTGAGAAGATCCCCCCCCCCCCATGTAACGGAATGAATGAGTCCTCATTTGCATAGCGGTGCGAGGGGATATCACCGCAAAAAGTCCCCATATGTGTATTGCGCTGCTTGCATAACGCATAACCGTTGCATAATCGTCAAGTCGTTGAATTTTTCACAACCCGATTACGTACTAGTCTTATACCAGCCGCGCCGATGGAGTTCGACTGAAGTTAACGAATTGTCATCAAGTCTAGTTTCCATGATGAATTAGTTGCTATTTTAAGGTTAATTTGGAGTGCCGTGACCTCGTGGTTAGGAGATTGGATCCGTGGTCTGCAGGTAATTCTGCAGGTTGTGGGTTCAAGTCCAGCCTGGGGTCATGGTGCGTGTGCCCTTGGGCAAGGCACTTTGTCACTCATTGCTTCTCTCCACCCAGGAGTAAATGGGTACCTGTGAGGGCAGAGATGGTTATTGTGATTGAATAAGCTTCCTTGCGCCTAACAGGATACATCGAGCTGTATACTCCCCAGGGAGCTGAGATGGTATTTGGAATGTTTCATGGGCCCAATGAACAGGGGTAATAATGATGTAGCGCCTTGAGCACCAGTCCTGGTGGATACGTGCGCTTAAATATCCACTATTGTCACTATTATTGTTATTGAAAGGCTAGTCTTAGAAAAGAAGTGGCAATTTTGAGAAAAACAGCATCTGCCACCTCGGAAACAAAATCACGAAAGCGGTGAAAAATGGCCATCCGCATCCTCCTTTTTTCAAAAAGATCAGACGAGAATGGATTTTTTGGGGGGCATAAAAATAATACAAGCTCTCATTACTATAAATAGGCCAATATGAACGAATGAGGGCGCCATAACGACAAAATGTTGGAGGTCCAAACAGACTCGAATCCAAGTTTATTGACATCACTTTCAGAGAAAAATACAATTTTAGTACTCGTTTTTTTTTATTTGGCCTAAGAATACTACAAGCCCTCATTACTATAAATAGGCCATTATGACCGTATGAGGGCGCCATAACGACACAATATTGGAGGTCCAAACAGACGTGAATCCAATTTTATTGACATCACTTTAAAAAGAAAGAATTCAATTTTACAAATTTACTTTTTCACAATATTTAATTTCTACACTGCAGTCGCGCATTGAAAGTAGAATCACCTTTTTCAATGCTAGAACGACCTTTCAACAGTTACGCAGCAAGACCATATACATTTTTTTCTCATATGATTTTATTTATTAACCGGTGAAGAAAAAAAAATCTATGCTGTAAGATTAATTCCATCCAGGGTCTCAAAAAGGTTTTTGAAATAATTTGCCACTTATTGTCTGAGAGATAAAATCGTAGGACATCTGCTAATGGAACAATGCTCCTTTCGTTTGTCTTTTATACAAGCGACAGGAACTGCCAGTGCATTAAAAGGACGTAATTGAGCGGCTTGCGATTAAAGTATACACGAAGTCGGAGTATTATGTTCTAACGAACAGTCTGCGTCATGATGGATTGAAATAAATTCCTGCTTATTTACTTTTGTATCAGAGAATAACAAATACGATTCGCCACTACTGATGTTTTAGCGTGTAAGTTTGTATCTGTAAAGTGCATATTTTATTTATAATAATAATATCTGACATTCTTAAGACCATCTCCCATCCCTGTAGTCTATGTAATATATCCTGGCCCTGGCGAAGCCGACCGTGGTCTATCATACGTAAACAGATTCGGCGATCAATTATGCAACTAGACTGCGTATGACCTCGAGAAACTGACCTATCAGCAGGCGCCTTCTACAGGGTGTTTCAAAAAAAGGAAACCCAACTTCAAAGAATTAGTATGGACAGACGATTTGTTTACTGGCTATAAAACTGGTATCATCTGAAAGCGTAATCTCTATGCTTTTCAATGATACCGAGAATAGGTTTCTGAGTCATGCATCACTGAGCATCATTGTTTTGAAAACTGGATGAAAATGCAGTTGGTTCACTTTCATAAAAAAAAATTAAAAAACACTGGGCACGGTGTGCCCATTGTTACGGAAATGTCTGTGAAATGGCTTGAATGGTAATCATCGGGAAAATGGCACATTGTTTTGAACTTGGCTTGGTCAAAACGAGAAATTCATGACAAACAATAAACTCCAGTTTTGAAACCAACCCGACTTGGTTTTTTGGTTTCCTTTTATGCGCTCGTGTCTTCTTCATGAATACTTATTCTCGTGCATACCATGCCTATTGTGTTTGACATGAAAGTGAACCAACTGTAATTTTGCATCAAAATCTCATGATAGTGGCGCTCAGTGATGCATGACCCTGGAAATGTAAACAAGGTATCATTGAAAAGCATAGAGATTACGCTTTCAGATGATACCAGTTTATAGCCAGTAAATATTTAGTCTGTCCATACTAGTTCTTCAAAGTTGGGTTTCCTTTTTATTGAAACACCCTGTATACGCGCGTAATTCGAGCTCCCCGCGTGCGTAAACATCACGCCCACTATGAGTAGCATTTTTGTACAGGTTGTTGCATTCCAAAAACGTGGCATCAAAATTGACCAATCACAATCTTAGTTCTGATTTCGGAATGAAATGACGTCACGCATGCTTAGATAGATTCTTCACTAAATTTCGTTCAGCTAACAGGTAAATATGCTGGTGCAATACGAATATTTGGTGTTGGAGGGATAGGGGCCTAATTGGCATCTCTTGCCCCTCCCCGTTAACTTGCCCATTTTTAGCATTTATGCTTTGCTAAATTTAGGAATTAAATCACCATCATGGCCCAATTACAAAAAAAACATTATAAAAGACATCCGATTTCAGTTGAAGCTGTTTTTGTTTAACTGAGTTTGATATTTGTCATGATGATGTGAGAACCCCGGCCTATACTTGCTCATTTTATGTAGTGAAAATCACCACCGGACAGTTACATTCCAAAATAATTTTCGAAGTCCAAAACATTTACAGCATAAGGCACAACGTAAAGCGCCACCTATTCTTCAATAGTGTCTGATATCATCCGCTTTAAACAGCGCCCTCATGCTCAGATTGTGTCAGCGATCTAAAGCTTGCTAACACAGGACAATGGCAATGTTTTCCCGAGAAGACATCGCGTGGCCACCAACTCAATTCAAGATGGCGGTTTCCAGGAAAAGGTCAATGAACGCGAGAAACGTAACATTTTCCGGAAAGGTATTGTCTCGTCTCAAATATTTCGACATGTTTTTGTTCATATGTTTTTGTCCACACTGTCCTAAATCGCTGATAATATACATTTATTGATTAATTACTGTAAATAAGCAATCACTATCAGGAAAAACTACCAACGCTGGTACATTAAATTAACTATTTAAATACCAATGTGCAACTCTGTAAAATTATAGATGTGTTCCTCGTGCTATTTGGAGTTACATCTCGAAAACAGATTTGTTTTTGCAATGTCTGTTTTCCTAGAAATATAACAATTATTCACTTCTGAATAAGACATGGAACATAATGAAACCACCAACGTTAAGTTATTGAATTATTTTTTAAACAAAATACGAATTATTGGCTGCTAGGCAGTAATTTTGCTTTGCAGCGCGGGTTCATTTGTGCGCAAAATGAAAGCCCGTTTCCGGAGGGTTGTAGCTCTTAAAAATCAGATTAAAGTAGGATTTTTTTTTGTTAAAACAAAACATACAAATTGAAAATTCGTGGAGAAGAAAATACAACAGTTTTCTTAAGAGCATCCTCTTAAACATGAACACTAAAATTTGTCCTTGACATTGACCTATAACTATGTCTAGGCCTACACATATAGTTGAATAAAAGATGAAGTTTAAGACTGTTTACGTTTTGCTACAATTTGAAGCCTGCACATCAGCGGTGTAGCTAGGGGCAGGGGGCGCACGCTACCCGCCCGGAAAAAGTTCGCGCTCCCAGTCGCCCCTCCCCCCCGGAAATTTAGCATCCGGAGAAAAGCACGGCTGCATGAGTTACCATGATTAGCTGGAGTCCATTTTTTCGCGATTGTGTGCGTATTTTTCACCAAAACCCTTTCTTTTCGCAAGTGGCTGTTTATTTTACTGTCCGTGGAAAGCGAATAGCGGTAGTTATTGCCTCACGTCAACCATGATATAGGTTTTGAACAGCGCCCCAATGGGAAGATTGTGTCTAGCGCCAACCCCCCCCCCCTTCCCCTCTCCTTAACTATTCGATTTTACGGAATTCGGGTGTCCAGTGAAAAAAAACCTGTCTTCACTTCAGCACAGATAGTAACACGACTATATATCTTTCGAATGTTATATGAATTACACTCTCATCAAGCCTGCCGTAATAGTTTTGCATGATGGCGACGATACCTAATTTTGGTTTGACGAGCTCTGTCCCCATAGGTTTGAGTAATGAAAGTGGCACGAAACTGTTCATTCCTTTTTCTTTTCTTCTTTTATATATCAGAGCAACCCAACACCTCAAACTGAAGGCAACAGAAACGAGTGCACTGTGTGGGTTCAATTCGAAGGAATCGGGTGCGCACGGCCATCGGGAACTGAGTGGTTACATGGGAGCTCCCGTCGATGTTTCCTGTGAACTTCAATAAAACATTAAAAGGAGATTTGTAAATGTAGCCTGTCGACGATAACAAGGAATTATAATTTCAAAGACATATGTTTTTAGAAAGGGGTGGTGTCTCTCCCACTAAATATTTAAGGTCTCGAATAAATGTTCAACTTTTTTGTGAACCGATAGGAATGCGCTTTTCAAGATTGACAGAACAACTTTGTAAAGCAAATTAGGTGTTGCCCGTCACCGACGTATAAACACTGTATACTCAGTATGATACCTCCCGAGTGAATGTTTGAAGAAAAAAAATCACTCGGGTTGGACTCGAACCCACAACCTCTTGCTTTCTAGTGCAGATGTCTTACCACTCGACCAAACGAGATCGGTGGGCTGGTTCGAATCTGATCCTTGTACAGAACATACATGCAAACATTGAGGACTACCCCACCGCAACGGTTCTCAGCTGTGACATGGTGAAATAAAAACTAGCTCTGAAATACCTTCTTAGGGGCTTCCACCTGTTCAGGCGATGTCTTGGTTGTCCCGCTTGCCTCGGTCACATTACGCCAATTATCCCCGTCGAAGCTGTATGAGACTTGATATTCAAGCACCCAGAAGTGCCCCGGATGACCTCTAGTGATCAGACCGGAAACACTGTACATGGCACCGAGGTCGACCTGTATCCAGCTGTACCCATTAGACGGGAAAAAACCCCAGCATCTGCTATCATCTGAATAAAGGATCAATTGAGTTTGGTTATATTTTTTATACAAATACCTTTGAATAATATACTTGTACTTAAAAAACAAGACTGTTATTTCAAAACATATAAAAGCATGATCGTATCAAGGAGTTTCAATGGTCGTTATATTGTTTGTAGGCCTATTGAATCGGAATCCACCAATGGTTTACCTATAGTACCTCAGATTTGAAGTGATGCAGCTATGAACAACAAAAATAACACAAATGATAAATTTGGAAAAGGGCTTAATTTTGCAAGTGATTGTTTGATATGTTCACAGCTCTAGTACCATTTGCATGTCCATTTAAGGTGTGAGAAAATCGGCTTCATATACAATAAGCAAACTTGCATTTTACTGTGGGGTTCAGACTGAAGCTATATTCCTCGTTGCGTGAGAACTAAAAATAGTGATTGTTTTTTTTTAAGTTGTAGGACGACGATGAAACCCTTACAAATGTGCTATTACCCGATTATAATAATAGGAAAAATGAATTGGGGAATGTGTGTGGTAAGTGTAATGTGTGTTGCATAGATTTGCATATTAAGCCTCTCTTTGTCCATGTTTACCAATGTTCAACTCCTTAAGAAAATACCATACCTAGTCGCGCTAAGGCTGTCACCCATCCTCCGTAATGCCTCAATTCCGTGATGCTACTGTCTGGGATAGAGCGATCCTTCATACCGAGTGGCTTCCCGTTGCAGCAACCTGTTACAAAGTCATGGAGGTTAAAAAAAGAAAATCACAAGTCAGTCAGTCAGTCCATCAGTCGGTCGGCCCGTCACTCGATCGTTCATTCATTCATTCATTCATTCATTCATTCATTCATTCATTCAGTCAGTCAGTCAGTCAGTCAGTAGGGGAGTCAGTCAGTCAGTCAGTCGGGGAGTCGGTCCGGGTCAGTAATTGGCAGTCGCTCAGTATACTCACTCTCTCCGCCAGTTACCCAGCTAGTCACCGAGTCAGTCACACATCTGTCACCTAGTCTCTCAGCCACTCACTAGTTAGACAGTCTCTCAGTCAGCCACCCAGTCTGTCACCCAGTCAGTCACACAGTCTGTCACCCAGTATGTCGGGGAGTCAGTCAGCCACTCACTCACTCAGATACTCAGTCTCTCAGTCACTCACTCAGTCAGTCTGTCACCCAGTCTGTTAGCCACTCACTCACCCACCCACGCTTACATAGGCATAGAAGTGGGGTACTTCCTCTGTTCTCGTGTACTAAAATTTTGCAATGTCGCACACTTATTTCAAAATGCTCTTTTTTTAACCATATATATTTCCTGGGCTGAAATTCGGACTTAATATCCCTTTTCTAAAACTCTTCCATTTGCGACGGATCAACCCACCTTGGAAATTCCTAGTTTTTGAGTAAAATCCATATATCTATTTCGTGAAAAACTTGTGGGGTACCAAAACGGTACCCCGCAAGTCGGTGGGCATTCCTTGTGGGGTACCTCCCATTGTTCCAGTACCCCACAAGGCAGTGTTTGTACACGCACTCGGTCAGCCGCCCAGAATGTCAGCCACTCACTCACTCATCAGTCAGTCACTCAGTCAGGCACCACGTCTGTCAGTCACTCACTCACTCACTCACTCACTCACTCAGTCATCCAGTCTGTCAGTCACTCCTTCACTCAGTCAGTCACCAAGTCTGTCAGTCACTCACTCAGTCAGTCAGTCACTCAGTCAGTTACTAAGTCAGTCAGTCACCTTGTTGTGTGTGTGGTGACGAAACGCCACATACTGTTCATGCACAGAGTCTATCATGATATACCTGTAGGGCCAGTGTAATTCTGCTGATTGCATCGTTGGTACGCCTCTCGCAGTGCCGTCTTCATCCAGCGCTCACCGGGCACAGGCTTGGGTGGACGGCCGTAGAAATTACACGACCTAACCTCGCCGTCCGCGTTACCTAGGTAAACTGAGCATGGACCATGAATACAAAACTGTACAACGGAGAGGTAGTCTATATGACATTAGTCAAGGCATCCGCACCTTGACCTCTAGACTTTGACCAATCAGCGGGTGCTTTCTCTGTCGGGTCTTCGGTCATTCATCTTTGTCGCGTCAAGACATGGATAAAAAACGAGCGGAGACCTCTGTCCAAGGGTGGATCGGGGGGGGCAACGGTGGCCACCCCTCCCCCCCCCCCCCGCAAAAAAACATGTTTCTGATTGTTTAAGTGACGTCGCAATAAAGGCAGGCACTGCGTACACCACCATCTTCTCCTCAAAAAAGATGATCAAAGTGGTCAAAAATTGTCTCAGATCGCATCACAGAACATCTATAATCCCCCCAAAATCGGGGCCCTTAACCTGAAAGGGGCCGGGTTATTTTGACCATCTCACAGCCGGGGGGGGGGGGACAGAAAAACCAGACACTCATTTGCTGTAGGATGAGGGTACGTAGTGACCCTCATCCCCCATGTCCCCCCCCCCCCCGCCCCCATTAATAAGATAAGAAGTACAGCAACAATCTTTTTGAACAGACGAACAAGGCATTTATCATTTTCAAAAGCTGAAAGAAAGAGGACCGCTTGTAAAAACTTGTCGTATGTCGTAATATTGTGTGTGTTTATATTTGTCTGTATTGCATAAAACATTCCATCAATATTTCTTATTTTCCATTTCTAAAATAAATGTAAACGGGTGGTCACTATGCTAAAAGTACAATGCCATCGTCATAATTAAACGTTACAAATGGCGTCAGGGCGGGAGTACGCCGTAGCGCAAAGCTCACTTGTCATTTAAACGGAGAGCTGGATAGTGTTTAATCAAAATTTCGGGAACAAATCCCCCGATTGTCAGCATAGTATTTTCGACCCTGATCACAGAATGGCCATTCTTAAGTTTCGCTAGATCATACCAAGGCCCATTGGCGCCATGCCAAATGGGGCCAAGTTTACATTTAATCAAAATTTTGAGAACAAGAACGAAACTATTAACATGTGATAGCTTGGAACTTTGTACATTATTAATTACTACGAAATTTAAATTGGGAAATTGAAACCATTTTTATTGATGCCTTGGCACTAGTGGAACATGAAAATATGACTTAAGAGTTCCTTTTGGTCAGACTAATTAACTTAAGCGCGGCGTAAACAGTGCTGAGGGGGCGGGGCCGCAACCCCCTCCGTATACATTTTGGCTCCTTTTTTGGCAATGCTTTCATTAAATTCTGCCAAGTTGCTCTGACAGGTGTTCTGATGTCTTGCGGTTATTTTGACACCAAGTTTATGAAAATAGGGCATACCTTTGTCACAAACTTTTCAAATAACAAAACAGGTAAAGGCTTAAATGTTAACTTTTCCATTACATGGAACATGTATGACGTACATCGGACGGCGCATGAGAGCTAGTGCCGACTTTAACTGACCACGACAACAAAACGGTTCGACAGGTTGAATTGAAACTTCACAGATGTGCTGCTGTTATTCATGTGTCCATTAAAATAATTTCCGACTGGGAAGATCATATCAGACCGCCGTTGCCCTGGGACAGGTCAATTAACTTTGTTTACCTGATCATTTGTATTCTTCAAAACTTCTGATTTATGATCTTTGCACGGAATCAAAGTAGCCAAAGCGCTTTACCCAACCATGAAACATTATTTCTAGTTCACAATAACCAGCAACATTTTGTTTAAACCCTATGACCATATTATTTATACATGTATGTTCTGTAGCGCCTGCGTCGCCAGGCATGAATGCAGGGAACATGGGGGTCAGATGCTCTAAATAACAAAATCGTCTTTGGGTTTGAATTCATGAGATCCTGTAGAACGATAGTCAAAATTAATTTGTTTCATTATTTAGACTCTGGGCATGTAAAGTTGGGATTTTAAATCAATGGTGGAAAACGGGTATACAAAGACCGCTGACATCTCACATGGGCGTCGCGAGGAGGGGCTAGGGGCGCTTGCTCCGCTCCACCCCCCCCCCCCCCTCCTCTGGAAAAGCAACCCCCCAAAAAGGAGAGAAAAAAGGGGAAAAGGGAAAGAAAAAGAGGTGCAAAGTCATTACTGGTAATTTAATGGCTCGGTAAGGGGGGGGGGGGCAATTGTCCCTGTCCACCATCAAAATGATAAATCGAAAATACGCTGGAAGAGTACAGGGATTTTTGGGAGGGGGGATGTGCCGTGCACCCTCTAGAAAAAAATCCTGGCGACGCCCATAACTTCACCAGCTATGAACTTTCCCTGGTAAGAATTCATATCGTAAGATTATATATGGGTTCTGGAAAAGTAGAGTTTGAATAATACATCTTTAAATATCAATAAACAGGGTGTGCAACGTTAATTGACCTCTGAAAGTCACCAGAGGGCAAATATGAAACACTTTCTCACATCCGATCATTACATTCATTGTATGAAAAACCAACGTACGAAGTTTTATGCTTTAGTCTCAAAGTGCACATTTTTTAACGATATTTGACCTTAACAGCTCTGTCAGCCCATCCACTGCCCCATCAGATTCAATTAAATCTTTAGTTTCAAACCGAAAAACTGATATCTTCTTTATATTTTTTGTTAATTCGCCAGCTCCTACTACCTGTGCTTTCGCATAATTACCCATTATTTTAAGCAGAAGTTGATATCTCTAATGAAATGACTCCGGAACATCTATCAACATCTGTAAAGTTTCAATTCAAATTTCAACCTGTTAAAATGTTTTGTTGTCATAGTTATCTAGAGTCGGCACTCTCGTGCGCCTTCCGATGTACGTACATGCACCATGTAATGGGTAAGTTAACATTTACGCCTATACCTGTTTTGGTATTTAAAAACTTTGTGACGAAGGTATGCCCTATTTTCATAAACTGGGTGTCAAAATAATCGCAAGACATCAGAACAACTGTCAGAGAAACTTGGAAGAATTTAATGAATGCATTGCTACGACAGGAGCCAAAATGTATACGGATGGGGGTTGCGGCCCCGCCCCCTCCGCGCTGTTTACGCCGCTCTCAAGTTAAATAGTCTGACCAAAAGGAACTCTTAAGTCATAGTTTCATGTTCCACAAGTGCCAAGGCATCAATCAAAATGGTTTCATTTTCCCAATTTAAATTTTGTAGTACATTTGCTTTCATGCGCATGCACTTTTCAATGGGAAAAGTTAACATTTATAGGCCCACCTGTGTTGGTAAATGGACATTTCGTGACAAAGTTATGCCTTTTTTTATAAACTTGTTGTCAAAATAACCGCAAGACATCAGAACAACTATCAAAGAAACTTGGCAGGATTTAACAAATGCCCTGCGACAATAGGAAACAAAATGTACATGGTGGGGGGTTTAGGCCCCGCCCCCTTTTGGTTTTTCCCGCCGCTCTTAATGCAACAAGTCTGGTTTCGTTCTTGATTTTGATTAAATGTAAAATTGGCCCCATTTAGCATGGCGCCAATGGGCCTAAGTCTGATCTAGCGAAACTTAAGAATGGCCATTCTGTGATCAGGGTCGATAATACTATACTTTAAGACAATCAGGGGATTTGTTCCCGAAATTTTGCTTAAACACTATCCAGCTCTCAGTCTAATTGAACCAAACAATGACTGTCATGCTTAATTGATTGGCGAATCAATTAAGCGGCATAGCCATGCTCGTTAGGCAAAAGATGATAAAAGCTTCGTCGGCTGAATAGCCCATTGTCAATGATTACCGATTCACTTGACTGACTGGCAATGCATTGGGATTTTTTTTCAAAAGATATTACCAACAATTTGCGTATTTTAATGTTATTTTTAAGGTTTTTTTTTTATTTTAAAGTATATTCAAATCCGGCGGCAGCCATTTTCTGCGGTGATATCAGGCTCGTGCGAGCATGGTGAATGTCTCAGCCGATTTTCGGCTAACTTTGACAGATTTTTGATAAAAACGAGTTTGGTTTATGTGTACAGCAAATGTTATTTACATAGTATCAACGAAAGATAATTCGATAAAAAGTACAAATAAAGGGTCTTTGAATTGCCACATGTGTTTTAAGTTTTATTTACACATCTTTCAAAAAGACATTTTAAAATTTGAAGAAATATCGAGTAAACAGTGTTCATCTCCATATGTATTATGGAGCAGTTTTTCGTCGTCATAGATGAAGTATTTACCCTTGAAATAAATGTCAAATGTGACACCTTTTCCGAGGAAAACACCGTTTACCCAAATCTCGTTTTTAAGTAGGCTTGCATTAAAAAGTTTTAGAGAGATGTGGTCCCGACCGATCAAACAAATGCGACATTTCATAGTTCATGTAAAAGCTAAGGATGTTGTGCTCGGTGCTAATATGGTTATGTAGTTATCATTTAGCAGAGTTCAATAATAAAGGCAAAAAACGTAGGATCATGAATATTCAAATTATATTTAGCTGGCTTGACAGACTTCGATACCAGATCGGGTGCAGGGCACCTACAAAGTTGAAAGCCGCCGCGCGCAGGGGTCTTCGTTGACAAGTATTCGTGGTATCACGGGTCTTACCAGGAGTTTGGCAGAGTCGTACATCCATGTGTAGGATCCGTGGACTAATAGAGGACTCGGAATGGGAGTGGCTACCCACTTTATGTGGGCCAGCACATTCCACTTGTTCACTCATTATGCAAAGTTGTAAAACAAATGAAATATTTTGGGGAGTTGGTCCCCGCGGATTAAGCTGATAATCCGTCACCGGCTGGCCCGACCTAGAAATGTGGAATTTAAATCCCTGACTGTGACAAAAAGGATGCATGGTTTATTTTCAATTAAAACAAATGGTGCAGCTAAAAAATGTTGAACATCGTGACTCTTTTTCTCTTCTGTCATGTAAATATTTACAATTAACTGGGCGATGTTCAATGAAATATTTCCTTGCCCGATCACACTGCGTTTGTAACAAAAACAAACGCGAATCTGTTGTTATTGTTATTGTTATTGGTTATGTGTGGTTTTTTTTAATATCCTTCACAATGAAAAAGAATCCTCGAAAAAACAATTCCTGGTAATTATCTGCATACAACGATGTCAAACAGAGCAACATTTCAAAATAAACAGCACGGGATGCTGTTTCCACTGCACATGAAAAAAAAAACCTGCGAGAACCTGTCAGACTTTTTTTTGTAGAATCCATTCACCACTAAACTTACTGCCTTCAAGGAAGACCGTAACATAACCTCAAGTATGTGTTTAAAAAAATAGTGGCCGGAATGGGAACTATATGTGTGCCAATGATGTTTAAGGACCAAATGCTTTTTTCGGCATCTTGGAATAAACAGTCATTTCTGTTTTAGCTGTATGAGATCTGTCATCAGCACGTTTAATTGGGATGGAATCTCCCCCACCCCCAACTTTGTATCAATCACATACCGTCTACCAGACCATTTTCTTGAAAATTTATACCGATAATTAAGTGCGACCATGTTACCAATCATCCAAAGTTTAATTAATTACGAAGCAGTACATGCTCGGCTTTTCAAATTTTCCATTCAAAACCCCTCTGTTTCATTCGCTTTAGTAGGCTAAGCTATCATGTATAAAATAAAGTAATACATGTAGGAACTCACCGTAAGTTGCAGCCAGAAGGGTTGCAAGGGCCAAATACGTAGACAACATGGCTGTCATTGGTAAGCTGACATGCTTTTTGCTCCAAAGGCTTGATCAATATCCACAGTTGCACAGAATAACCAGCGCAAAATGAATAACGACAGAGCTAGTTGAGGTGCGTGGTACTGCCGGCCGCTCACGAACCAAAACTAAATGATACTGTCCTCCAAGTCCAAGACAACTATCACGTTGCTCGTTATCGAAGTCATCAGGTAGTAAAGGTTCTGTCGGTGTCTTTGTGGAACGCACAAATATTGCTTTTTAGACCAGGCCTGCCTGTAAACCGCCTGTTTGACTAATTGAATGGGGGTGCTTTTAGCCTAATGGGGCACAGAAGTAACCATTAATGTTATGAGTTTGTTTCGCATGAAAAACCAGACTGCGCCATTATGTACATGAAGGCTGCTCGAATCATTATTCAGAAGCTATCTCAACAGGTTTGGCGATTACAGGTATGAATCCCATATAGGGTACGAGTGAACAAAAAGAACTCGAACGCCTGTAAATGCTCTGCAACAGCAGTCACTCAGCGCCCCTGCAATGGCAGACTGGCTGAAAGAGTCCTGTGCAAGTAAAATATAACACGAACAGCAGGCTCCTTGTCAATCTCACGAAACTTTCTCGAGCGATAAATGTAAGATCTGCGTTCCAAGCCAAGGCGATAACGGCAAAAAGGCCCCACAAACGCGTTGCTGCGCTAGCGCGCGTATCAACTGTTCCGTCATTCCGGTTATATCCCCCCCCCCCCCCTCTCTGGACTACTACAAAGTCAGCTTACATTAAGTAGGTTTTCTAAATAATGTTGACGGCAAATCATATGAATTCGAAGAATAAACTAACCCATATAATAAATCCAGATAGTCACGGTGTCTGTTTCATTCCCACGGGGTACCCCAGTACCGTAAGTAGGGAAGAGCAGCAGAGGGATCACTACCACGGGCTATTAGCCTGGATCAGCAGGATCGGGTGACTTCAGTAAAAGTGCATGCCCCCGCGTACTAAATAATTAGACTTTCTTCCAGTCGCAAAACTCAGCTCCCAACAATACAATATTGTGCCCAGCAGAGCCATAATCCTTTTTAAATACAATTTTATTGGTAAAAAGACAATATGTATCGACAATATCTGTGCAAATTTTAAATAGATGGAACCATGGAATATATATGTTGTTCTTTGTTTCCTGTTCAATGTGGTTTTGATATAAATAAACTTGTTTTTTTTTTTTATTTCAACAGCTTGTTTACTCGAGTTTGCATCTGATGCACCGCACCATCGATTTTCCTTGAAATCGGTTGAGTTTGTTTTCGACGTGCCTTTGTTTGAACGCAAATAATCATAAAACTCTTTTAAATATCAAATCAATACTCGCCAGGGATAAAGCTAAGATATGTCACCGGAGAGATAAATTAAAATATTAATTTTGAAGAAAAGCGCAACCTATTGTCCGAAAGGGTCTGATTAGACTTGTTCGTGGTCCCTCCATTGTCCTTCGGACTTTGAAAGTAGGGACAGGTAGTGGGCAATAGATAAGGAATACATTATGCCAATTATATGCAGGACTAGCCTAGAGTCTGATTCCCGCCCCCTAAATACAAAATCACAACGATAATGTTAGCGCGGAACCAGCCTACTGCAAAATGGCAACATGGCCACCATTAATGTGCAGTTTGTGTGGTGATGAGCTTCGATTTTTGCTGAATTTAAAAGTATCATCCATCTGATATCATCCACTTCGAACAGCGCCCCCATTAGCCAGATGGTTTCAGCGATCTAACGCTTGCCAACGCGTGACAGTGCAACGTCGTCCCCAGGGCTTACTTTAACTTCAACCTCGTTTCCAATGCCCTCGATAGGAAACGTTCTTCCTGTTGGCGGATTCGATACCGCAATTGGCAAGTAATGGATTGATATCGTGTACTTGGTGTTGTTATTTCCAACGTGCATTACGTGGTTTCACGTTCATTTTAATTATAAGGTCCACACCTTCCCAAAAATAATCCTTCCTTTCCAATTTGCTCATATTAATGTGAAATGTGATACTGCATATTGTAACATTTAAACTTTGGAAAAAAAATCGTGTTTACCCCAGAAACCGCAAACAAAAACATACGCTAACGTAAAGCACAGGCAGGCATTCCTAATTTGCATATGTGTCCTAAAATTTTGGATATGCAAATGGTCCAATACCAGGGTGAGCAGAGAGCAGGTAGTTGTGGGCGCGTACTGCTCGACACCCTGGGTACGAGGTTGGTATAATGGCCATCAGAAGACATCACGTGACTACAAAAATGTATCCAAGATGGCGATTTCCGGGAAAAGGTCACTGAACAAGAGAAAGGCGTGCATGATATGCAATGTTTACTTGAAAACTATCGTCTGTAATCATATATATCTACGTGCTTTTTTAAAATATTTTTTCCCCATACTGTCTTAAATTGCTGGTAAATTTTAAATATATCCTGTTACTTAATATGTAAAGAAGGAATGTTAGGTAAAACGAAACCTACTCATTACGGTGCATTTAATTAAATACAAAAGTAGCCACGTGCAACTCTGTTAGAATAAACACTAAAAAATTGCCTGGGTTAATTTTACCCAAGAAAAGGTGAAAACTGGAACTGCTCAAACTTGGGTTGTTCTATAACCAATAGTTTGGGTTTGAATATTTGCTAAATTCAACCAAAACCTGTGGTAATTCAAGACCAAATTTAATTCTGTCTTGTATGACTACAAGTTTTGGTTGAATTTAGCAGAAATTCTAACCCAAACAATTGGTTATAGAACAACCCAAGTTTGGGTAGTTCCAGTTTTCACCCTTTCTTGGGTAAAATTAACCCAGGCAATTTTTCAGTGAACTTGTCCACACTGTCCTAAATTGCTAATAAATATTTATTTATTCATACATTTATTTCTGTAAATAAGGAATCACTATCAGGAAAAAATACCAACGCTGGTGCATTTAATTAACTATTTAAATACCAATGTGCAACTCTGTAAAATTAAAGGTGTGTTCCTCGTGCTATGTCGAGCAATCTCGTCAACAGATTTGTTTGAGCAATGTCTGTTTCCCTAGAAACATACAAATTATTTACTTCTGAATAAGACATGGAACCGAATGAAACACCAACGTTAATTTATGGAATTATATACACAATCATATAGTTTAATCAAAGATGAAGTTTAAGACTGCTGTTGGTTTACATTTTGCTACAATTTGAAGCCGGCACATCAGCGGTGTAGCTAGGGGGCAGGGGACGCACGCCCCCCCCCCCCCGGAAAAAGTTCGCGCTCCCAGTCGCCCCCTCCCCCCTCCCCCCACTGGAAATTTAGCATCCCGAGAAAAGCACGGCCGCTTGAGTTACCATGATTGCTGGAGGAACATAAACTATTTTGTGCGTATTCACCAAAATCCTTCTTTTCGCGAGTGGATGTTAATTGTACCGTCCATGGAAAGCGAATAGCGGTAGTTATTGCCTCACATCCACCATGATATAGGTTTTGAACAGCGCCCCCATGGGAAGTGATATAGAGTATATATAGATGATATACGGAATTTGGGTGTCCGGTGAAAAAAACCCTGTCTACACTTCAGCCCAGATGAATATTTTGGGCGTCCTTCCATTGTAACCACCACCCCCCCCCCTCCAGGATGAGAACCCTGACTACGCTGCTGCTGAACAAACAGATAATCGGGCAACAAATAATACACGACTATTAATCTTTCGAACGTTCTATGAATTACACTCTCATCAAGCCTGCCGTAATAGTTTTGCATGATGGCGACGATACCTAATTTTTGTTTGACGAGCTGTGTCCCCATGGGTTTGAAAAAATGAAAGTGGCGCGAAACTGTTCATTCTTTTTCTTTTCTTTTTTTATATATCAGAGCAGCCCAACACCTCAAACTGAAGGCAGCAGAAACTGTTGCACCGTGTGGGTTCAATTCGCAGGAATCGGGTGCGCACGGCTATCGGGAAATTGGTGGTTACATGGGAGCTCCCGTCGATGTTTCCTGCGAACTTCAAACAAACATTAAATGGAAATTTGCAAATGCAGCCAATCGACGATATTAACAAGGACATTTAAATCTCAAAGACATATTTTTTAGGGTGGGTGTATCTCGCACTGAATTTTAAAGGTCTCGAATAAATGTTTTCTTTTTTTATATATCAGAGCAGCCCAACACCTCAAACTGAAGGCAGCAGAAACTGTTGCACCGTGTGGGTTCAATTCGCAGGAATCGGGTGCGCACGGCTATCGGGAAATTGGTGGTTACATGGGAGCTCCCGTCGATGTTTCCTGCGAACTTCAAACAAACATTAAATGGAAATTTGAAAATGCAGCCAATCGACGATATTAACAAGGACATATAAATCTCAAAGACATATTTTTTAGGGTGGGTGTATCTCGCACTGAATTTTAAAGGGCTCGAATAAATGTTCAACTTTTTGTGAACCGATAGGAATGCGCTTTTCAAAATTGACAGAACAACTTTGTAAAGCAAATCAGGTTCTGCCCTTCACCGACGTATAAACACTGTATACTCAGTGTGTTACCTCCCGAGTGAATTTTTGAAAAAAATATCACCTGGGTTGGACTCGAACCCACGACCTCCTGCTTTCTAGTGCAGATGTCTTACCACTCGACCACCGAGCTAACGAGATCGGTTGGCTGGTTCGAATCTGATCCTTGTAAAGAACATACATGCAAACATTGAGGACTACCCCACCGCAACGGTTCTCAAACTAGCTCTGAAATACCTTCTTAGGGGCTTCCATTTGTTCAGGCGATGTCTTGGTTGTCCCACTTGCCTCGGTCACATTACGCCAATTATCCCCATCGAAGCTGTATGAGACTTGATATTCAAGCACCCAGTAGAGCCCCGGATGACCTCTAGTGATCAGACCGGAAACACTGTACATGGCACCGAGGTCGACCTGTATCCAGCTGTACCCATTGTACAGATGAAACCCCCAGCATCTGCTATCATCTGAATAAAGGATCAATATATTTTGGTTATATTTTTTATACAAATACCTTTGAATAATATACTTGTACTTAAAAAACAAGACTGACATTTCAAAACATATAAAAGCATGATCGTATCAAGGAGTTTCAAAAGTCGTTATATTGTTTGTAGGCCTATTGAATCGGAATCCACCAAATGTTTACCTAGTACCTCAGATTTGAAGTGATGCAGCTATGAACAACAAAAATAACACAAATGATCAATTTGGAAAAGGGCTTAATTTTGCAAGTGATTGTTTGATATGTTCACAGCTCTTGTACCATTTGCATGTCCATTTAAGGTGTGAGAACATCGGCTTCATATACAATAAGCAAACTTGCATTTTACTGTGGGGTTCAGACTGAAGCTATATTCCTCGTTGCGTGAGAACTAAAAAGAGTGATTGTTTTTCAAGTTGTAGGGCGACGATGAAACCCTTACAAATGTGCTATTACCCGATTATTATAATAGGATAAATGAATTGGGGAATGTGTGTGGTAAGCGAGAGATGAGAGCTTGTACTTCCATTCCATTGCATAGATTTGCATATTAAGCCTCAATAAGTGGCTCTTTGAAGGTGGTCCATTAAACCAATATTCAACTCCTTAAGAAAATACCATACCTAGTCGCGCGAAAGCTGTCACCCAAATGTGGTGATGCCTCAATTCCGTGATGCTACTGTCTGGGATGGAGCCATCCTTCATACCGAGTGGCTTCCCATTGCAGCAACCTGTCACAAAGTCATGGAGGTTAAAAAAAGAATATCACAAGTCAGTCAGTCAGTCCATCAGTCGGTCGGTCCGTCACTCAATCGTTCATTCATTCATTCATGCATTTATTCAGTCAGTCAGTCAGGGAGTCAGTCAGTCAGTCAGTCAGCCACTCACTCATTCAGTCAGCCACCCAGTCTGTCAGCCACTCACTCAGTTAGACAGTCTCTCAGTCAGCCACCCAGTCTGTCACCCAGTCAGTCACACAGTCTGTCACCCCGTATGTCAGTCAGTCGGGAAGTCAGCCAGCCACTCACTCATTCAGTCAGCCACCCAATTTGTAAGCCACTCACTCAGTTACACAGACCCTCAGTCAGCCACCCAGTCTGTCACCCTGTCAGTCACACAGTCTGTCGCCCCGGCGGGGAGTCGGGGAGTCAGTCAGTCAGCCACTCACTCACTCACTCAGTCAGTCACCCAGTCTGTTAGCCACTCACTCAGTTACACAGTCTCTCAGTCAGCCATCCAGTCAGTTACCACGTCAGTCACACAGTCTATCACCAAATATGTCGGGGAGTGAGTCAGTCAGTCAGCCACGTACTCACTCACTCAGTCAGCCACCCAGTCTGTCAGTCACTCAATCACCCAGTCTAGCTGTCAGTCACTCCTTCACTCAGTCAGTCACCAGTCTGTCAGTCACTCACTCACTCAGTCAGTCACTCCGTCTGTCTGTCACTCAATCACTCAGTCAGTCACCCAGTCTGACAGTCAATCAGTCAGTTACTAAGTCAATCAGTCAGTTTGTCAATCAGTCAGTCACCTTGTGGTGTGTGTGGTGACGAAACGCCACCTACTGTTCATGCTATCATGATATACCTGTAGGGCCAGCGTAATTCTGCTGATTGCATCGATGGTACGCCTCTCGCAGTGCCGTCTTCATCCAGCGCTCCCCTGGTACAGGCTTGGGTGGACGCCCGTAATAATTACACGACCTAACCTCGCCGTCCGCGTTACCTAGGTGAACTGAGAATGGACCATGAACAGATTCGCCGATTAATTAGTCAGGAAAACCGCACTTTGACCTCTAGACTTTGATCAATCAGCGGGTGCCTTCTCTGTCGGGTCTTCGGTCATTCACCTTTGTCGCGTCAAGACATGGATACAAAAAAACGAGCGGAGACCTCTGTCCAAGAGTGGATCCAGGGGAGGGAAACGGGGGGGGGGGGGGCACTGCCCCCACCCCAAGTTTTTCTTTGTTTTAAGTGACGTCGCAATGAAGGCAGGCACCGCGAACATCACCATCTTCTCCTAAAAAAAGGTGGTTAAAGTGGTCAGAAAATGCCTCAGATCGCACCACAGGGCATCTAACCCCCCCCCCCCAACAATAGGGACCCTTAAGGCCCAAAAAAGTCTCCGGTTTCTGGTATGGAGCTTGCCCAAAAAGTGGTGCGGCGACGCGGCTTTTTTTTTACCTGGGTTTTTTTTGCTTCAAATGTCGTCTGATGACTGCAAATGGTGCCCGACTAAACTTAGTGCAAATATATGAGAGTCCAGAAAGGCCACATAAAGCTTATTCTCGATCATAACCCCATCTAAAAACACGTTAAAATTGTGCAGCAGCAGGATTCAAGTCAAACCAGTGAGTTTGGCGGTTTTGAGACATCATCTTTTATTGAAAAAAAAACGTTTTCATTTGCCGACGCGCATGGCTACGGCGCCGCGCGCGCATACCAGAAACCGAATACTTTTTTTGTTTGGCCTTAACCGAAAAGGGCCGGGTTATTTTGACCATCTCACAGCCGGGGGCGTAAAAACAGAAAAAAAAACAGACACTCATTTGCTGTAGGATGGGGGAACGAAGTAACCCTCATTCCCCATGCCCCCCCCCCCCCCCCCCGCCCCCGTTAATAATGTAACAAGTACAGCAAGAATCTTTTCGAACAGACGAACAAGGCATAAATCAATTTCAAAAGCTGAAAGATAGAGGGACGCGTGTTTAAACTTGTCGTACGTCGTAATATTGTCTGTGTTTATATTTTTCTGTATTGCATAAAACATTCCATCAATAATTCTTAATTATCATTTTGAAAATAAATGTAAACGGGTGGTCACTATTCACCTGCTAAAAGTACAATGCCATCGTCATCATTAACCTTCACAAATGGCGTCAGGGCGGGCGTACGCCGTAGCGCAAAGCTCATTTGTCATTGAACCAAACAATGACGGTCAAGCTTAATTGACTGGCGAATCAATTAAGAGGCATAGCCATACTCGTTAGGCAAATGATGATAAGAGCTTCGTCGGCTAAATAGCCCATTGTCAATGATTACCGATTCACTTGAATGACTGGCAATGCATTGGGCCCTTTTTTTTTAAAGATATTACCGACAATTTGCGTTTTGTATTGTTATTTTTAATGGTTTTGTGAATTTAAAGGTATAGAAAAATCCGGCGGCAGCCATTTTCTGCGGTGATATCAGGCTCGTGCGAGCATGGTGACCGTTTCAGCCGATTTTCGGCTAACTTTGACAGATTTTCAAAAAAAACGTGTTTGGTTTCTAATGTGTACAGCAAATACGTAATTAACATCGTTACACCGAAAGATAAGTCGATAAAAAGGTACAAAGAAAGGGTCTTTGGATTGGCACATGTGTTTTAAGTTTTATTTACACATCTTTCAATGAGAAATTTTAAAATTTGAAGAAATATCGAGTATTAAAACAGTGATCATCTCCATATTTATTATGGAGCAGTTTTTCGTCGTCATAGATGAAATTTTTACCCGGGAAATAAACGTCAAATGTGACACCTTTTCCGAGGAGAACACCGTTTAGCCAAATCTCGTTTTTAATTTATAGGCTTGCATTAATAGGTTTCAGAGAGATGTGGTCCCGAACCGATGAAACAAATTCGACATTTCATAGTTCATGTAAAAGCTAAGGATGTTGTGCTCGGTGCTAACATGGTTATGTAGTTATCATTTATCAGAGTTCAATAATAAAAGACAAGAACGTAGGATCATGAATATTCAAACAAATATAATTCTCTGGCTTGACAGACTTCGACACCAGATCGGGCGCAGGGCACCTGCAAATCTGAAAGCCGCCGCGCGCAGGTCTCTTTGTTGACAAGTATTCGTGGTATTCCTCCCACCTGTACAGGCCGTTACCATGCGTCTTACCAGAAGTTTGGCCGAATCGTTAATTCATGTGTAGGATCCGTGGACTAACAGAGGAATCGGCATGGGAGTGGCTACCCAATTTATGTGGGCCAGCACATTCCACTTGTTAACTTATTATGCAAACTTGTAATACAAATGAAATATTTTGGGAAGTTGGGCCCTGAGGATTAGGCTGATAATCCTTCACCGGCTGGCCCGACCTAGAAATGTGGAATTTAAATCCCTGACTGTGACAAAAAGCATTCATGGTTTATTTAAAAGAAAATGTTGAATATCGTGACTCCTTTTCTGTTCTGTCATGTAAATATTAACAATTAACTGGGCGATGTACAATTGCATGCCCGATCCCCCTGCGTTTGTAACAAAAACAAACGCGGATATGTTGTCTGTGTTATTGGTTTGTTGTTGTCGTTGTTGTTGTCCTTCACAATGGAAAAGAACACTAAAAAAATAAATTTTTAATAATTATCTGCTTTCATCTAACGATGTCAAACAGAGCCATATTTCAACACATAGTATGCTGTTTCCACTGCACTTGAAAAAAAACCTGTAAAACACCTGTCAGACTTATTTGGTAGGATCCATACACCCAAAAACCTACTGGTTTCGGAATAACTGTCTACCAATTCCATGAAGACCGAATAACTTCAAGAAAGCTGCATGAAATTAGTCATCAGCATTTTGAACTTTGATGGAATCTAGCTCCCCTACCCCCAAACTTGTATCAATCACATACTGTCTACCAGACCATTTTCCTGACAATTTATACCGAACATGAATGTCAACCATATGTCACCAATCATTAAAAGTTTAACTTACCACGAAACAAGCGAGCATTTGTGTTTTTTTTACTTTTCCAATCAAAATTCCTCTTTTTCATTCGCGTTAGTAATCCAAGCTACCATCTATAAAATACTGGAATTAATGTAGGAACTTACCGTAAACGGAAACCAGAAAGGTTGCAAGGGCCAAATACGTAGACAACATGGCTGTCATTGGTAAGCTGACATGCTTTTTGCTCCCAACAGCTTGATCAAAATCCAAAGTTGCACTGAATAACCAGCGCAAAATGAACTACCACAGAGATAGTTCAACTGCGTGGTACTGCCGGCCGCTCATGAACCAAAACCAAATGATACTGTCACCCAAGTCAAAGACACCTATCACGTTGCTCGTTATTGAAGTCATCAGGTAGTAAAGGTTCTGCCTGTGTCTTTGTGAAACGCACAAATATTGCTTTTCAGACCAGGCCTGCCTGTTAACCGGTTATTTGACTAATTGAATACGGGGGTGTTTTTCACCTAATGGGGCACTAGGTAACCATTAATTTTATGGGTTTGAAAAACGAGAATGCGCCACTATTCAAAAAAGCTGCGGGAATCATTATTCAAAAGCTATTTAAAAAGGTTTCGCGAGTACAGGTATGAATCCTACGAAGGGTTTGAATGAACAAAAATACGCGCATGAAGTAAGCAAGGCTGCTATAATTTCATCAATTGTATGTCTAAACTCGCCATTGGATATTTTTGTTTTCTTATATAAATAATTGCATTTTATAAACTTATTGTTTTAATTATTTTCAAGAGACATGTAACACATGGTGCTGTGAAATAAAATACCGTTACAATTGTTTTTATTGGTTTCTATATCTTTTTTATTCTCTGGTGCAAGTACAATATAGTGTCTTGTGCAAATATATTTACAATGAACAACAAAGCCGAGTAAAAACTTAAGTAGTCTCTCGTTTGGCTTTTTTTTCTTGGAGAAAAAAAAAGGCGGGCGCTTTTTTTCCCCTAAGGTGGCTAATTTTCCAACATGGTGGATGGATTCTTCGATTTTCTCAACTATTTGGTTGATACAAAACTGTGCCCAGCAGAGAAATAATCCTTTATAAATACAATTTTATTGGGAAAAAAAAGACAAGATATATCGACAATCTCTGTGCAAAGTTTAATCAGGTGTATGAATTTAAAACCAAAAAAAAAAAGAGGCCTCATATAGGGTGAGTAAACAAAAACCGGAACCCAAACCCCAAAAATTATATTTCATACTTAAATAAAATATGTAGCACCAAAAACAATTATGTCTGGAAAGCCTATTTTATAAGCTACTTTTAAATGAAGAAAATTACTGAAATTGCTCAATCCGTTCAAAGAATATCACCATTTAAACGCAATAACCTAAAACCGGTCTCGTCCAAAAATGCAATTTCAAGAATCGTCGTCACAATTGTCTTCAAACATCACCAGCGATAAAACCTCAGTTTAAAAGTGAAAAAAAAAAAAAATCAACAAAGTCCTTTTGAAGGCCCGTCTTTTAAAAAAAGAGGATTTTTTAAATCATATTTGTTTGCCTTACCAGGGTTGTTGATAAATTGTGTACTACAGTTGTTGACAGTTGTTGAAACAAGTATTCTGTGTCATTGTCTTTGTTGTTCCAAACAGTCAAAACACACAATAAATTGCTTTTTTTGACGAGTCAGGTTTTAGGGTCATTCCATTTAAATGGTGATATTCTTTGAACGGATTGACCAATTTCAGTAATTTTGTCATCTAAAAGTAGCTTATGAAATTGGCCTTCAAGTAATTATGATATTTGGTGCTACATATTTTTTTAAATATAAAATATTTTTTTAAATATAAAATATTTTATTTTTGGATTTCAGTTCCGCTTTTTTGGACTCACCCTGAATAATGACAGACTTGTGGTTTTCCACGTGGTACATTTCGGCATTTCATTGTAAAAGAAACTACCGTAGATCTACCCATGAACTCCATTATGTGGAGTCGATGTGCAAAACAATATAAGTCTCTCTTATATGTACACATTCAACATTCTCCATATTATACGAATCCGTTATGTTGTATTGAGACATCATAGATATAAGAAAAGTACGTAAGGCCAAAACATTATATAATAGTCGGTCTCTGGTCAGCGCGTGCGTCGATTGTGATCATGCGCGTCAATACTTTTTTTTTTCAAAATTGTCCGCGTTAGCTTCAACAGCGCCTTCCGTGCGCCTCACATTTTCGTACCAAGGAGCACCAAGGAATGGGGAAGGGCACAAAAACAAATGATGGAGGGCACCTGTCCAAGGCAAGTGTTGGAGGACACCAAGGTATACGAGGACACCAAAAAGTGTCAATATAGTACCCACTTTGTCTGCACTATCCAAGCTTGAGAAAAAAAAGGGGGGGGAAAACGCATTGCCGCATCAATTCCGGAACTTTGGTCTGACCAGCGACCAACCATTTGTTTTGGCCTAATGATAATATGCATGTACTTGCCACAACTTTTGTATAGAAAACAATGTGCCTTGCGGTTTTCCTACACTGTTATATGAAGTTTAGGTTACCAATAATACATAATACCATCTCTCAAATACACTTCAAGGCATAAAGGTTCATTTGCTTATTTACCTTTGTATCAGAGATTAACGACTTACATTCCTCAGTGCTTGCGTATCACAGGTTATAGAGAGTAATTTTAGAGTGCATATTTTATTATAATCATAACATGTGACATTCTTAAACCATCTCACATCCGTGAAGCACACAGGTTAAAACAATTGGGAGAAAAGGTGATATCAGAAAAAGCTTTTGGAATGGTGGTAAACTTTTAGACTGGTTGGGAAAATGTTGCCAGTTTACAACCAATAATATGCAGTGATGTCGTAAGGTGCATTAAAGGGTCACATTGCAGAGAGAACATTAGGGGCTTGACCTAATTTTCTAGAGGAGGCACTAAAATGGGTTTGCCAATCATAAATCTCATGTACAGGGTGAGTCAGAATGATCGGAACCCAAATTAAATAAAATATTAAAAATATGTATAGCAATTATCAACACAAGTGCAAATGAGATATGTAATAGGCTGGTCTTTTGGACATATTTGGTGAAAGTTTCATGTATATCCAAAGTACCATTTTGAAGAAAAGCGCTAGCAAAGAACACACGCTAAAAAAACTCTGACGGTTCCATGGTTCAACAAATTTATTGAAATCGCGTACTGATGTGACTGCATTTCAAAGTTCGGTCACATCAGTACGCCATTTTAATAAATGGAACCATGGAATATATATGTTGTTCTTCGTTTCAAGTTCAATGTGTTTGTAATGTAAATCAACTTGTCTTTTTTTGTTATTTCAACAGCTTGTTTACTCGAGTTTGCATCTGATGTACCGCATCATCGATTTTCCTTGAAATCGGTTGAGTTTGTTTTCGACATGCCTTTATTTGAACACAAATAATTTTGAAACCCTTTTAAGTATCAAATCAATACTCGCCATGGATAAAGTTAAGATTCCAAGCTTTACAATGGTTTAACAATAATGGCTGTACGTGTTTCCGCGCCTACGCTAGAGCCTCGCAAAACAATTTGAAGGTATTTTTGGGACGCGCTGTATGTCACCGGAGAGATAAATTCAGATATTATTTTTGACGAAAGGCGCAACTTGTTGTCCGAAAGTGTCTGATTAGACTGGTTCGCGGTCTCTCCATTGTCCTTCGGACTGCGAAAGTAGGGACAGGTAGTGGGCAATAGATCAGGAATACATTACACCAATTATATGCAGGACTAACCTAGAGTCATATTCCCGCCCCCTAAATACAAAATCACAACGATAATGTTAGCGCGGAACCGGCCTACTGCAAAATGTCCACCATTAATGTGCAGTTTGTGTGGTGATGAGCTTCAATTTTTGCTGAATTTAAAAGTGTCTCTGGCAGCTATCAATAAAGAGAGGGGCACTAGTCACTACTTTTCAGTATTTGAAACATACGCAGTTGAAATGCTTGAACGTTGCCTTCGTGGAGACACTAGCGATTTTGCCCACTGGTTATGGTATAAGAGTTAGTATTTTGATAACCGTGTGGGGTAAACTGTCATCCCTGTGCAAAGCTGTACATAATATTTTCAAAAATAATCAATCATGCTGCGCACGCGCACGGTACAACGTCAATGACTTTAAATTGGAACTAGCTACCGGTCCCCATATTATGGGAGCGGAAACCAGTCTGCCAAGTGTCTGATATCATCCACTTCGAACAGCGCCCCCATTAGCCGGATGGTTTCAGCGATCTAAGGCTTGCCAACGCGTGACAATGCAACCTCGTCCCCAGGGCTTACTTTAATTTCATCCTCGTTTCCAATGCCCTCGATAGGAAACGTTCTGCCTGTTTCCTGATTTGATACTACAATTGGCAAGTAATGGATATATATCGAGTACTTGGTGTTGTTATTTCCAACGTGCATTACGTGGTTTCACGTTCATTTTCATTTTTAGGTCCACACCTTCCCAAAAATAATCCTTTCCTTTCGAATTTGCTCATATTAATGTGAAATGTGATACTGCATATTGTAACATTTAAACTTTGAAAAAAAAATCGAGTTTACCCCAGAAACCCCATACAAAAACAAACGCTAACGTAAAGCACAGGCAGGCATTCCTAATTTGCATACGTGTCCTAAAATTTTGGATATGCAAATGATCCCATACCAGGGTGAGCAGAGAGCAGGTAGTGGTGGGCGCGTACTGCTCGACACCCTGGGGACGAGGTTGGTACAATGGCCATCAGAAGACATCACGTGACTTCAAAAATGTATCCAAGATGGCGATTTCCGGGAAAAGGTCAGTAAACAAGAGAAAGGTGTGCATGATATGCAATGTTTACTTGAAAACTATCGTCTGTTATCAGATATCTCTACGTGCTTCTTTTTTATATTCTTTGCCCATACTGTCTTAAATTGCTGGTAAATTTTAAATATATCCTGTTACTTAATATGTAAAGAAGGAATGTTAGGTGAAACGAAACCTACTCATTATGGTGCATTTAACTAAATACAAACGTAGCCACGTGCAACTCTGTTAGAATAAACTTGTCCACACTGTCCTAAATTGCTAATAAATATATATACGTATTCATATATTTCATTCTTTAAATAAGCAATCACTATCAGGAAAAACTACCAACGCTGGTGCATTTAATTAACTATTTAAAAACCAATGTGCAACTCTGTAAAATTAAAGATGTTTTCTTCGTGCTATGTCGAGCAATCTCGTCAACTGATTTATTTTTGCAATGTCTGTTTTCTTAGAAATATATAAATTATTCATTTCTGAATAGGACATGGTATACAAATATTGAGTGGCTCAGCGTGGAATTCGCCTCGTGAAATGGAAAAGTCCAGATTTTACCTTGCGATAATATTCCTCCCATTTCACAATTTAAAGCCACTCAATATTTGTTTTATATAACTGACATATAGATCCTTGTCATTTGATATATTTGAACTTTTATTTCAATACAAACCTGGAGAAAAATGCATTTGTCTCTTCCAAACCCCTTCACGAAAATGTTTGAACCCAACGCTGTAGCGCTGGCTCTTTGGAACAATACGCGCTACGCGCAACGCTGGACGCGCACACCAGCATGCATTTGCACACAAATGCCGCGTCATGCTCCTAACTGTAGTAAAACTAGCCTCCCGAGGTGATCCATGGACCATTCTATTTTCCCGAGGCGAAGCCGAGGGAAAATAGAATGGTCCATTGATCACCGAGGGAGGCTAGTTTTACTTCACCACGAGATAAAACATTCAATATTTGTTTTATAACACTTCACCCACAGATTCTGCTTGATTTTAATATTTTACATTATTTAAATCTGAACACAGTTGAAATAAACTTCAATTTCAATACAAAATTGGTGGAAAATGTATTTCTCTCTTAAAAACTAACCCTTCACGAAATGTTTGAACCCAAGTCTGCGGCGCGCTCTCTTTGAAATAATACGCGCTACGCACAACGGGCAACGCGCACACCAGCATGCATTTGCACACAAATACCGCGCCGTGGAAATAGTACTTTGGTTGCTAATGGTATAGTACTTTGGTTGCTATGCGCATAGTACTTTGCCCGGCACAGAAAGATAGCAAAAATAGAAAGTAACATGTGACTCGCTCACGGCCAATCAAGACACAGAATCTGTGGGTGAGGTGTTATAATATTTCCCATTCCCGATGGGCGGATAGTACTTTTTGAGCCGTGGCATGAATGAGAGTAATAACGAATGCCACGTGATGTGAGTTCCACCAATCAAATGACTAGGATCTGTATGTCAGTAATATATATAACAGAATGAAACCACCAACGTTAACTTATTGAATTATGAACACATACAGTTTAATAAAAAAAGGAAGTTTAAGACTGCTGTTGGTTTACATTTTGCTACAATTTGAAGCCTGCACATCAGCGGTGTAGCTAGGTGGCAGGGGGCACCCCCCCCCCTCAGAAAAAGTTCGCGCTCCCAGTCGCCTAGCTCCTCCCCCCCCCCCCTCCTGGAAATTTAGCATCCGGAGAAAAGCACGGCCGCATGAGTTACCATGATTAGCTGGAGGAACATAAAGTCCATTTTTTCGCGATTGTGTGCGTATTTTTCACCAAAACCCTGACTTTTCGCAAGTGGCTGTTTATTTTACTGTCCGTGGAGAGCGAATAGCGGTAGTTATTGCCTCACGTCAAACAGGATATAGGTTTTGAACAGCGCCCCAATGGGAAGATTGTGTCTAGCACCCCCCCCCTTCCTCTCTCCTTCAGCACTTCAGCACAGATAGTAACACGACTATTAATCTTCCGAATGTTCTATGATTTACACTCTCGTCAAGCCTGCCGTAATAGTTTTGCATGATGGCGACGATACCTATTTTTTTTTTTGCTTGACGAGCTGTGTCCCCATGAGTTTGAGAAAATGAAAGGGGCGCGAAACTGTTAAGTTCGTTCTATTTTCTTTCTTGTTTATATATCAGAGCAACCCAACACCTCAAACTGAAGACAGCAGAAATGGTTGCACCGTGTGGGTTCAATCCGCAGGAATCGGGTGCGTACGGCCATCGGGAACTGAATGGTTACATGGGAGCTCCCGTCGATGTTTCCTGCGAACTTCAAACAAACATTAAATGGAAATTTGTAAATGTAGCCTGTCGACGATAAGGCCAAAAAAAAAAAGTCGGTCTCTGGTCAGCGCGCGCGTCGATTTTAATCATGCGCGTCAATCTTTTTTTTCCAAAATGTTCCGCGGTAGCTCCAACAGCGCCCTCTATTGCCGCACCTCCTCAATTTTGTTTTTACCAAAGAGCACCAAGGAATGGGAAATTGCACCAAGGCAAATGATCGAAAGCACCAAGGCAAATTATGGAGGACACCAATGTACATGAGGACACCAAAAAAGCAAAATAGTACCCCACCTTGTCTGTACAATCCAAGCTTGAAGAAAAAAGAAAAAAAGAAAAAAAATACGCGTCGCCGCGTCAATTCTGGAACTTTGGTCTGACCAGAGACCGAATATTTTTTTTTTTTTTTTGGCCTAACAAGGAATTATAATTTCAAAGACATATGTTTTTAGGAGGGGGGTGTCTCTCCCTCTGAATATTTAAGGTCTTGAATAAATGTTCAACTTTTTTTGTGAACCGATAGGAATGCCCTTTTCAAGATTGACAGAACAACTTTGTTAAGCAAATTAGGTGTTGCCCTTCACCGACGTATAAACACTGTATACTCAGTGTGATACCTCCCGAGTGAATGTTTGAAAAAAAAATCACTCAGGTTGGACTCGAACACACGACCTCCTGCTTTTTAGTGCAGATGTCTTACCACTCGACCAAACGGGATCGGTTGGCTGGTTCGAATCTGATCCTTGTAAAGAACATACATGCAAACATCGAGGACTACCCCACCGCAACGGTTCTCAGCTGTGAAATTGTAAAACAAAAACTAGCTCTGAATACCTTCTTAGGGGCTTCCACCTGTTCAGGCGATGTCTTGGTTGTCCCGCTTGCCTCGGTCACATTACGCCACTTATCCCCATCGAAGCTGTATGAGACTTGATATTCAAGCACCCAGTAGTGATAATTCGGGTGATTATAACCTCTAGTGATCAAACCGGAGACACTGTACATGGCACCGAGGTCGACCTGTATCCAGCTGTACCCATTGTGCAGATAAAACCCCCAGCATCTGCTATCATCTGAATAAAGGGTCAATTTATTTTAGTTATATTTTTTATACAAATACCTTTGAATAATATACTTGTACTTAAAGGGAAAATACAACATTTGCAAACATCAAAAAATAAAACTACCAAATCATTTTGAAATACCTTGCTGGACTGTTAGTGAATGACAGCGTAAAGCATCGTGTAAAATCATGGCACCTGGTATACTGTCATTTTCAAGAAAAGTGGTATTTTTGTATCAATTTCCAACGCTGATCGGCCGATCAGCGTTGGAAAAAACTGGCTTTTTTTCAAATACTGGCCCCAGTTGACCATCGCACTTGTTTGCAATCGATTACACACCTATGAACGGGTACAAGCCAGCTAGATTGGTTCCCTGACCTTACAATTCCCCAATATATGTAAACTGCTCTGTTTCTTCTTAAATGGGGCATTTTCGAACCCAAAACCTCAAAAAAGTCAGTGTAACTATATTTGCTATATATTTTCAACCCCCCAATTCCATCCATTTCTGAAAATTACAGCAAAAGCAAATGATGTATATTCCCTTTAAAAAACAAGACTGATATTTCTAAACATATAAAAGCATGATCGTATCAAGGAGTTTCAATGATCGTTATATTGTTTGTAGGCCTATTGAATCGGAATCCACCAATGGTTTACCCAGCACCTCAGATTTGAAGTGATGCAGCTATGAACAACAAAAATAACACAAATGATCGATTTGGAAAAGGGCTTAATCTTGCAAGTGATTGTTTGATATGTTCACAGCTCTTGTACCATTTGCATGTCCATTTAAGGTGTGAGAAAATCGGCTTCATATACAATAAGCAAACTTGCATTTTACTGTGGGGTTCAGACTGAAGCTATATTCCTCGTTGCGTGAGAACTAAAACGAGTGATTGTTTTTTGAAGTTGTAGGGCGACGATGAAACCCTTACAAATGTGCTATTACCCGATTATAATAATAGGATAAATGAATTGGGGAATGTGTGTGGTAGGCGAGAGATGAGAGCTTGTACTTCCATTCCATTGCATAGATTTGCATATTAAGCCTCAATAAGTGGCTCTATGCAGGTGGTCCATTAAACCAATATTCAACTCCTTAGGAAAATACCATACCTAGTCGCGCGAAAGCTGTCACCCAACTGCTGTGATGCCTCAATTCCGTGATGCTACTGTCTGGGATGGAGCCATCCTTCATACCGAGTGGTTTCCCATTGCAGCAACCTGTCACAAAGTCATGGAGGTTAAAAAAAGAAAATTACAAGTCAGTCAGTCAGTCAGTCAGTCAGTCAGTCGGGGAGTCAGTCAGTCAGTCAGTCAGTCAGTTTATGCTCACTCTCTCCGCCAGTTACCCAGTTAGTCACCGAGTCAGTCACACATCTGTCACCTAGTCTCTCAGCCACTCACTAGTTAGACAGTCTCTCAGTCAGTCAGCCACCCAGTCTGTCACCCAGTAGGGGAGTCAGTCAGTCAGTCAGTCAGCCAGCCACTCACTCAGTCAGTCAGCCACCCAGTCTGTCAGCCACCCACTCACTAACCCAGTCAGCCACCCAGAATGTCAGCCACTCACTTAATCAGTCAGTCACTCAGTCAGTCACCATGTCTGTCAGTCAGTCACTCAGTCACTCACTCAGTCATCCAGTCTGTCAGTCACTCCTTCACTCAGTCAGTCACCAAGTCTGTCAGTCACTCACTCACTCAGGCAGTCACCCAATCTGTCAGTCACTCAGTCAGTTACTAAGTCAGTCAGTCACCTTGCAGTGTGTGTGGTGACGAAACGCCACCTACTGTTCATGCACAGAGTCTATCATGATATACCTGCAGGGCCAGTGTAAGTCTGCTGATTGCATCGATGGTACGCCTCTCGTAATGCTGTCTCCATCCAGCTCTCACCTGGCACAGGCTTGGGTGCACGGCCGTAGTAATTACATGACCTAACCTCGCCGTCTGCGTTACCTAGGTAAACTTAAAATGGACAATGAATAGCCAAAATATATCCGTTGTCACAAATAACATACTAAACAACCTATACGCAGAAGCTGATGAGGCTGGGGGTTTAATATCTCCTTAAAAAAATCGCCGTCCGCGTTACCTAGGTAAACTAAGCATGGACCATGAATACAAAACTGTACAACGGAGGGGTAGTCTATATGACATTAGTCAAGACATCCGAACCTTGAACTCTAGACTTTGACCAATCAGCGGGTGCTTTCTCTGTCGGGTCTTCGGTCATTCATCTTTGTCGCGTCAAGACATGGATAAAAAAACGAGCGGAGACCTCTGTCCAAGGGTGGATCCGGGAGGGGGGGGGCAACGGGGGCCACCCATCTCCCCCCCCCCGCATGTTTATGATTGTTTAAGTGACGTCGCAATAAAGGCAGACACTGCGTACACCATCATCTTCTCCTCAAAAAAGATGGTATAAGTGGTCAAAAATGGTCTCAGATCGCACCACAGAACATTTATAATCCCCCCAAAATCCGGGCCCTTAACCTGAAAGGGGCCGGGCTATTTTGACCATCTCACAGCCGGGGGGGGGGGGACAGAAAAACCAGACACTCATTTGCTGAAGGATGAGGGTACGTAGTGACCCTCATCCCCCATGTCCCCTCCCCCGCCCCCATTAATAAGGTAAGAAGTACAGCAACAATCTTTTCGAACAGACGAACAAGGCATATATCATTTTCAAAAGCTGAAAGAAAGAGGACCGCTTGTAAAAACTTGTATGTCGTAATATTGTGTGTGTTTATATTTGTCTGTATTGCATAAAACATTCCATCAATATTTCTTATTTTTCATTTCTAAAATAAATGTAAACGGGTGGTCACTATTCACCTGCTAAAAGTACAATGCCATCGTGATAATTAAACTTCACAAATGGCGTCAGGGCGGGAGTACGCCGTAGCGCAAAGCTCATTTGTCATTTAAACGGAGAGCTGGATAGTGTTTAATCAAAATTTCGGGAACAAATCCCCTGATTGTCAGCATAGTATTTTCGACCCTGATCACAGAATGGCAATTTTTAAGTTTCGCTAGATCAGACCAAGGCCAATTGGCGCCATGCCGAATGGGGCCAATTTTACCTTTAATCAAAATGTTGAGAACAAGAACGAAACCAGACTTATTGCATTAAGAGCGGCAGGAAAAACCAAGAGGGGGCGGGGCCTAAACCCCCCACCATGTACATTTTGGATCCTATTGTCGCAAGGTATTTGTTAAATCCTGCCAAGTTTCTTTGATAGTTGTTCTGATGTCTTGCGGTTATTTTGACACCAAGTTTATAAAAAAGGGCATAACTTTGTCACGAAATGTCCATTTACCAACACAGGTAGGCCTAAATGTTTACTTTTCTCATTGAAAAGTGCATGCGCATGAAAGCGTGCATGACAGTGTCAACTAACAGATTGAATTGAAACTGTGCAAACGTAATACAAAATTTAAATTGGGAAATTGAAACCATTTTTATTGATGCCTTGGCACTAGTGGAACATGAAAATATGACTTAAGAGTTCCTTTTGGTCAGACTAATTAACTTAAGCGCGGCGTAAACAGTGCGGAGGGGGCGGGGCCGCAACCCCCCTCCGTATACATTTTGGCTCCTGTCGTGGCAATGCTTTCATTAAATTCTGCCAAGTTTTTCTGACAGTTGTTCTGATGTCTTGCGGTTATTTTGACACCCAGTTTATGAATATAGGGCAAACCTTCGTCACAAATTTGCAAATACCAAAACAGGTATAGGCTTAAATGTTAACTTTTCCATTATATGAAACATGTATGACGTACATCGGAGGGCGCATGAGAGCTAGTGCCGACTTTAACTGACCACGACAACAAAACCGTTCAACAGGTTGAATTGAAACTTCACAGTTGTGCTACTGTTATTCAGGTGTCCATTCAAATAATTTCCGAGTGGGAAGATCATATCAGACCTCCGTTGCCCTGGGACAGGTCAATTAACTTTGTTTACCTTGTCATTTTGATCCTTCAAAACTTCTGATTTATGATCTTTGCACGGAATCAAAGTAGCCAAAGCGCTTTACCCAACCATGAAACATTATTTCCATTTCACGATAACCAGCAACATTTTGTTTAAACCCTATTACCATATAAGTATTACATGTATGTTCTGTTGCGCCTGCGTCGTCAGGCATGAATGCAGGGGACATGGGGGTCAGATGCTCTCAATAACAAAAATCGCCTTTGGGTTTTGAATTCATGAGATCCTGTAGAACAAAAGTCAAAATTAATTTGTTTCATTATTTAGACTCGGGGCATGAAAAGTTGGCATTTTGAAGTAATAGTGGAAAACGGGTATACATATACCGCTGACCTCTCACATGGGCGTCGCGAGGAGGGGCTAGGGGCGCTTGCTCCCCCCCCCCCCCTCTGGAAAAGCAGCCCCCAAAAAAGGAGAGAAAAAAGGGAAAAGGAAAAGAAAAAGAGGCGCGAAGTCATTACTGGTAATTTAATAGCTTGGTGGGGGGGGGTCAAATGTCCCTGTCCACCTTCAAAACGATAAATGGAAAATACTATATAGTACAGGGATTTTTTTGAAGGGGGGGGGTAGGGGGAGGGGAATGTGCTTTGCACCCTCTAGAAAGAAATCCTGGCGACGCCCATAACTTCACCAGCTATGAACTTTCCCTGGTAAGAATTCACATCGTAAGATTAGATATGGGTTCTGGAAAAGTAGGGTTTGAATAATACATCTTTAAATATCAATAAACAGGGTGTGCAATGTTAATTGACATCTCGTAAGTCACCAGAGGGCAAATATGAAACATTTTCTCACATCCGATCATTACATTCATTGTATGAAAAACCCACGTACGAAGTTTTATGCTTTAGGCTCAAAGTGCACAACTTTTTATGATGTTTGACCTTAACAGCTCTGCCACTGCCCCATCAGATTCAATTAAATGTTTAGTTTCAAACCGAAAAACTGATATCTTCTTTATAATTTTTGTTAATTCGCCAGCTCCTACTACCTGTGCTTTCGCATAATTACCCATTATTTTAAGCAGAAGTTGATATCTCTAATGAAACGACTCCGGAACATCTATCAACGTCTGTGAAGTTTCAATTCAAATTGCAACTTCTTAAAATGTTTTGTTGTCATAGTTATCTAGAGTCGGCACTCTCATGCGCCCTCCGATGTACGTCATACATGTTCCATGTAATGGAAAAGTTAACATTTACGCCTATACCTGTTTTGGTATTTGAAAATTTTGTGACGAAGGTATGCCCTATTTTCATAAACTGGGTGTCAAAATAATTGCAAGACATCGGAACAACTGTCAGAGAAACTTAATGAATGAGAATTTAATGAATGCATTGCCAAGACAGGAGCCAAAATGTATACGAAGGGGGGTTGCGGCCCCGCCCCCTCCGCACTGTTTACGCCGCTCTCAAGTTAATTAGTCTGACCAAAAAGAACTCTTAAGTCATAGTTTCATGTTCCACTAGTGCCAAGGCATCAATCAAAATGGTTTCATTTTCCCAATTTAAATTTTGTAGTACATTTGCACAGTTTCAATTCAATCTGTTAGTCGGCTCTGTCATGCACGCTTTCATGCGCATGCACTTTTCAATGGGAAAAGTTAACATTTAAGCCTACCTGTGTTGGTAAATGGACATTTCGTGACAAAGTTATGCCTTTTTTTATAAACATGTTGTCAAAATAACCGCAAGACATCAGAACAACTATCAAAGAAACTTGGCAGGATTTAACAAATGCCTTGCGACAATAGGAGCCAAAATGTACATGGTGGGGGGGGTTAGGCCCCGCCCCCTCTTCGCTTTTCCCGCCGCTCTTAAGGCAATAAGTCTGGTTTCGTTCTTGTTCTCAAGATTTTGATTAAATGTAAAATTGGCCCCATTTAGCATGGCGCCAATGGGCCTTAGTCTGATCTAGCGAAACTTAAGAATGGCCATTCTGTGACCAGGGTCGATAATACTATACTTTAAGACAATCAGGGGATTTGTTTCCGAAATTTTGCTTAAACATTATCCAGCTCTCAATCTAATTGAACCAAACAATGACTGTCGTGCTTAATTGATTGGCGACTCAATTAAGCGGCATAGCCATGCTCGTTAGGCAAAAGATGATAAAAGCTTCGTCGGCTGATTAGCCCATTGTCAATGATTACCGATTCACTTGACTGACTGGCAATGCATTGGGATTTTTTTTCAAAAGATATTACCAACAATTTGCGTAGGCCTATTTTCATGTTATGGGTTTATTTTTTAATTTTAAGGTACAGACAAATCCGGCGGCAGCCATTTTCTGCGGTGATATCATTTTCTGCGGTACGAGCATGGTGACCGTCTCAGCCGATTTTCGGCTAACTTTGACAGATTTTTGATGAAAACGAGTTTGGTTTAAGTGTACAGCGAATGTAATTTACATCGTATCAACAAAAGATAAGTCGATAAAAAGTACAAATAAAGGGTTTTTGAAATGCCACATGTGTATTGCCACATTTGAAGAAATATCGAGTAAACAGTGTTCGTCTCCATATTTATTATGGAGCAGTTTTTCGTCGTCATAGATGAAGTATTTACCCTTGAAATCAATGTCAAATGTGACACCTTTTCCGAGGAAAACACCGTTTACCCAAATCTTGTTTTTAAGTAGGCTTGCATTAAAAAGTTTTAGAGAGATGTGGTCCCGACCGATAAAACTAATGCGACATTTCAAAGTTCATGTAAACGCTAAGGATGTTGTGCTCGGTGCTAACATGGTTATGTAGTTATCACTTAGCAGAGTTCAATAATAAAGGCCAAAAACGTAGGATCATGAATATTCAAATTATATTTAGCTGGCTTGACAGACTTCGATACCAGATCGGGCGCAGGGCACCTGCAAAGTTGAAAGCCGCCGCGCGCACGGGTCTTCGTTGACAAGTATTCGTGGTATCACGGGTCTTACCAGGAGATTGGCAAAGT